ACAGAAAGTATAAGAGGCTTAAACTTGGCGGCGGTCAGGCGTACGACCGTTCGAGTGACTAGACTGCCGTGGTAGCTAATACTACTAGTATATATATATATATATTAAAAGGGCATAATCTGCTGTACCTAGCCTGGACTGACAGAGGCCGTGTATATAGTGTACATAGAAGTAAGGAATAAGTGTGTATTTATAAATGTATGTAAATACAGACAATGGACTTAATACAGACTGACTAACAAATGACAGACCCGACCTCTCGTCAGAGAGGGCGCTACACATGGACAAGACAGTAACTTTCAGTCAAAAGAAATATCTGGTCATGAGCCCCAGCTGGGGCTCGACACCAAGACTGACAGACTGACTGACCGTCAGTTGCAATGTGACTCAGACTCAGACTCAGACTCAGAGTTATTCAGTTCGACTCAGTCCGACTTCAGTCTACGATCAAGCCACACAGCAAGCAGCTTCAGCCAGCAGGCTTCGTCGCTCAGCGCTCGTTCTTCGCAGACATCGGCAGGCTGCGCCGGGCACGACTGCCTCGGCCCTCCGGCGCTCTCACACCCGACTCACTGGGGCACCGTGCCTGGACTCGCCGGTGGTCGTGTTACGGTCCGACCCACTGGGCATCTGGCGTAGCCACTGCCTCATGGCTCCTACGACCGCGCTCAACGACTAGCCTTTTCACCAGCAGCAGCCACCGCACTGCGATTAAGCAACCTCCAACTCACGCTGCCGCACGGCAACCAAGCAACCTCCAGCCACGGCCGCACTGTGGCCAGGCCACTCGCCTTTCACTAGCCTTTCTCCTTACCGGCGCGTGCCGCGCTACCCCACCAGTCAATCATCTCAGCAGCCACGGTCCTTTTCAGGGCCAACAAACTGTTCCGAAGAAGTGGGTTGTCATCGGAGTAATGACAAGACTACACACACATTGGCAAGAGCCCCACAGTATCTATGGAAAAGTATTGTGATCATGAAAAATTCGATCTAGAGCTTTGTTGGACTTATGCCTATTCAGCTCCCCCAAATGCCAATAAGTTGTTTAAGAATGCCATCTCTTTGCCTGTGTATCTACATATATGTATGAACACATGAAATACTGCCTTGCTAGCATCTGAAAGGTTGGACAGATTTTATTCATATTTGGTAAGATTTTCTCCATCACAGGTCTGTGTACAGTGAATATGAATGTTATGGCTCCAGACACAGAATCCCTTCAGACAGAGCTCAAAGAAAGAAAATGGCGATTTTCTTGAAAACGGCTCTAACAATGATGAATAAATGGTGACCATTTCCATGAATGAAACTGTACAGGTGGTATCTTCAGGAAGCAACCGTACATGCACTAGGGGTCAAAATGTTGCAATTTCAGTATTCTTGAAGAGGGCTTAAACAGCTGGATGGGTTTTATTATTGTACTATGTTAAAAAGTTATAGGTAATTTCTCTTAAATATTTGTTTTAAGACAGTATAAGGCTGTGATTCCTCAGGCTTATATGGGTAATTAAATGATAACTGTTGCACATCTTGTACATGCCCTGCCAATCTAAATTTTATGTGCTACTGGATAAAAGTTTAAAGTTGAGAGTTTGCTTTGCAGTTTGATTAAAGGATTAATTGATATGTTTAACTGTCACGTTTCATAAATTGTAAATCATCGCGCCTTGTGTTTATTTCTGGTTGACAATAACCATATAAATAATAAGTTAGGAAATGAATGAATAGCATAACAGTTCTGTTGCATTTTTTCTGTAGTTACCTCTAAATAGTATAAAAATTCACTTTGTTTAATTACCTCGAAAATGTATAGAAAAGACAGGGCCAAAAAGGAATATCTTGAGAAGATATGTAATGAGATTATGGAATTTCAAAGAGCAGGACGTTATGATTTGATGTACATGAAGACAAAAGAACTAGGATGGAAAGAGAATCATGGGATTCAAAATGTGGGCATCGAAGACTCCCAGGGGAATAGAATAGTAGATCAGAGGAAAGTGCTGAAAATTTGGGAAAATTATATTACAGAACTATATGATCGACCTAATCGGCCAGAAACCTTAGAAGTTGAACCGGAAGAAGAAGTAGATACAGACGAGAAAGGACCATA